AGACATCTGTTAGAGCTATACATTAAATAACTGCTGTAACAATGAATATATCAATTGGTATATTGTAAAAGTAGACATCTGTTAGAGCTATACATTAAATAACTGCTGTAACAAGGAATATATCAATTGGTATATTGTAAAAGTAGACATCTGTTAGAGCTATACATTAAATAACTGCTGTAACAAGGAATATATCAATTGGTATATTGTAAAAGTAGACAACTGTTACAGTTATAACTAAATGACTGCTGTAGCCAAACATATATCATAAACTGGTACATTATAGAAGTAAAAATCCACTACAACTGTATATAAACAAAATATTCACATTGACGTTAATATTAGAAAATCTGTTGAAATTTTGTGTTGCAAACTATGTAATCTGTTGTTGTGGATTGGCATGTATTAATCCATAGTTATGGAGTGTAATATTAATTTCCCATTTAAATTAGTATCTGTACCATCCTTTGAAGCTTATAAAGTCAAACCCTTTGTATATAAAGCTTCTACTGGCTGATATGTGTCACTTCTGTTTATGGTAGCAAAAAGCTACTAAAATATGTTTAGTCACTTTTGATGTTGGCCATAGGCCAAATACAGTTTTATTATGTATTTTTAAACATTGTTATTATTTTTTATTTTATTACTATTAAAAATTTTGTTTGCTCAAAGCAGTAAGAGTAGAGTTTGTCTTTCTTGAAATTGGTAAGAGTAGAGTTTTGGCCCAACTTCAAGTGGTAAGAGTGGAGTTTGGGTCTGATTTGGTTACACTGTAAAATGTTTCAGGATATCCTAGAATGGAAGAACTCAATCTTTGTTCTGGCCTTTGTATACAGATTTTTCATCAGGTGTGTATCAAAATAAAAGAAGTGGGATTTGGTCCATTTTCCATTGTAAATGATTCTTAGGGTTATATCAAAGAGGGAAAGGGAGAAGTTTGGTATTACTTATTTACACTGTGACTTCTAGTCATGGTTGTTTCAAAGTAGAGGTTTGTTTATAGTATAAATCCTGTTAGTCTTGATATGTACCAAAATGATAGAATTTGAGGTTTTGATATTACGTGTTTTTTAAAGAAATTACTACTGTAGTCAAATATATATCAGACTGATATAGCATAGTAAATGTTTGGTATTCATTACTTACACTATATGACTTATAAAAAAAAAGGTTTACTATAATTTTTGTTTCCGGTGCAGGTGCAAATTCTGTTGAAATAAAGGGTATGAAGTAAAGGCTAATACTATTTTCATTGTGTACACCTTAATGAACAATTTTAATAAGAAATAAAGTTTCTGTAAGAGACCTATACTCAGTGTAGTTTGTGTTTCTAAACACTTTTACATTCATGATAATGTAAGTCCTTTTTTGACATTGGTTTTATATGAACCTCATTGAAGTGTTATCAGCAACCAGTAAATGCTCAAATATTTGAACTTTTTGTATTTAGTTGATTTCTGTAAAGTTTAGATATTTTTGGACAAATCACTTTAAACACCTTTATAAAAGATTATACATATCTGAAAGAAAGATGAGTGATTTTTCTTTCTGTTTATTTTACAATGTATCTTGGAAGTAGGAAGTTTGAGTCATTGGCATCAGTCACTTCAATAATTGGAGAAAGTGTGTATGTATGATTTACTAACTCCAGTGATCTAGTAGAAGTTGGTTGAGTTTGGTAGCTCTAGTGGGTTAAGTAAATATAGTCTTAGAAAATTGTTTGGCATGTTGACTTCACTGTGACTGTGCATAAAGTTTGGTTGCTTTACAGTTGTTAAATGAAGCATATTTGTTTTGATGAGTAAATGATCAGATAAAATTTGTGCAGTGACTGTATTTATCTAATATATGTGTGTGTATCAATTTTGATTAACAAATAATGTGATCAGATTGTTGGTATTTAAAATTTGATGGCAAGTGATAAGGTAAATAGTATGTGGGTTCTGATGCATAAAAAAAAATTAGATAAATCATAGTGTTATTTAGTATAGTAAAACTGGCTACTTAGAGCATAGGTTTTGATAGTCATAGCAATTGATGTGATTAGCTAGATAATTTATTCAGTTTGATCCATTCAGAAAATAAAGTAGTTAGGTAGATGGTATGTTTGATGTCTTCATTAGGTAAGGAAGTTAGGTTATTTGAGTACATACAAAAGTAACTAGATAGATGGTGTGTAGGCTTTGAAGCTTTTGGCAAGTAGATGAGCATATGATGCTTCAGTGAATAAGATCAGTAGGTAGTCACAAGTTGAGGAAGTAATGTAGTTGATTTTTTCAGTCAGTATGATGATTATATATATATATATATATGTAAATTTTGATGCTTCATTAACTATTTAAGTTGTGTGCAAGATCTGATGCTGCATTAAGGTGACTAATCAAATAGCATACTGGCTGTCATGGGTTCAGTAAGCAATAGTTTTCTCTGGAGTGCACTGTAATTGTTGACATATTTATTTAATATATTTTAAAATATTAATCGTATGTATGAATGAATACCTTTGTTACATAACAATACATACATTGTTTCTGCTGATTTTCTTTTTAACTTAAAATGTTATTTTAACATTTGGTGTTATCACTAGGTGGTAAAGTTGGTTGCAAACAACAAAATTGGCTAATGCAAATATGTAGTAAGGTTAGATGTGGTGACAAGATAGATTATTTGTTACATTTTTTTAGTCCTTTACAAAAAAGGAATTATGACTTCTTTGTTTAACTTTATCAACTCATGTGTTTAAAGCTTAATGGCATCAGGTAAAAAAGTGACAAGATAGATTATACTACACGTCCTAATAGAGCTTCAACTTGCTACATCATAATAATATATTAATAACTTTTACTCAAGTTATGTACTTTTTTACCTTTCTCTTCAAGTAAGAAAAATGTGCACAACATTTTTCCAGTGCAATAATAAACAAGGTATTTATAATATTTGGAAACTGATGGAAAGCTGAAAGTAAAAATAGCACATTTCACAAAATTCAGACTTCTTGTATCTTAAACCTATGAAGTGCGACCTCTAACCGGTATCTTAATTTAATGACCCGTAATAATTTAAAAAAAAACAGGAGCTAAAAGAACTGAATGACTAAAATGGAGTAGTTAATTTGAAGCTAGTTACTTGTTATTTATATACTTGCTGTTATCTTTCTGCTTTAATGTCTATTACAGAATGAGGTTTATTTTCAGTGTCGCGTTTATTGTATGGCATGTATTTCACAATTTGTGGTTGCATTCACACATGTAATGTAGTACTGGCATACGTTATATGCTACCACTATTAACTAGTATTTATTGAAATTGACTGCCACTCACCAAAGTGTATAGTAAATTATTAAACGTAAACCTGGTCAAAATGCCTTTTTTTATAGTATATGGTCTATCATATTAGTATAGTTGCTAGTACTTAAAATATAATTATCTAACTATGTGGGAAAAATGAGATATACAAAAATAGAAATATTAAGATATCATTTAATCAGTAATTTGTTATAAAAAGTTGTAGGAGTGATCAGTTTGAACATCATTTGTAGTATAGGATGTGTTAGAATTTAGTTTCAAAGCATTGAACATGTTTTCTGACTGGTGTTTGTTTCTCTGGCTGTTTTATTAATTAAAAATGTCATATATTTTGACTATTATACCAAGTATTTATAAAAACCTAGAAATATACTACATTTTAAAGCTGCTCCACACATTTGTTTAAACGAAAATTAATAACTATCACAAAATTAAAATAACAGGCTTATTTGAGATTGCTATTCAACCTTTCATGTGAATGGAAACACGTAATATTCTCCTTTTGTAGTGCAGCTTTCGAAATATTGAAAAAGGTGTGTAAGCATTTGCCAGGAGAAGAAGAGGTCTAAATATAATATAAATCTCCAAAATTGCGACTAACAACGATGTGACCAAAATACAGATCCAGACCAGATGTATTTGCCAGGCTTGTCTATCTGAGTTTCTGATTATGGCAAAATGTATGAACAACTAATTTGAAAACATTTGCAAGATTGACTTCAAAGATGATTGTGATCCAACCCAAAAGGTTTCACTTTTCTTTAGTTTGCGTATGTTTCACCCTTTTTGTACACAAACAAAGAACAGACAAATGCCATGTTTTATTTTTTAGTTTAGTGGGCTGCATGAAGTCCCACCTCCAAGTATAAAACTTGTTTATTTTTCATTCATTCAAGGGTGATGCAAGCAAAACGTTTGAATGTAACAAATGACAGATGTCATTATTATTGGTGGGGAGGGCCAATGTCACTACAACTAGTGATAGCAGAGTCTTGAAACTTGGTTACAAGCATTTATACTTCCTTTTCAACTAGGAATTTCAAACGCATAGAACTGCTTACTTTCAGTTAATTTATTTTTTAATAGTTAGAATTCAGTTTAACATGACTGAAGAAAAATGTACTACTGAATATTACAAGAAAATGATGTTGACATGACTGGAAACATTTAACTAGTGAAAATTTCTATGTGCATTAGTTTCTTAATTTGTTCATTATAATCTTCTTTAAATAAATAAATATCCTTCAATGGAGTAAAACTTTTATATTTTTCAGTTACACTTTCAAAGAGATGTACAGTGTTAAGTTTAGCAGAATAAAATACTTGATCTAAATGACTATTTCTTAGTACACCAAAATTTTACTTGAATTTCTATATATCCATTGAAATAATATTGGACTGTGTCATTAAAATATTACTTCCAATTTTTTATCTGTAAATACTTTCTAAAAGTAAAGCTAACAGGAAAAAAGTTTAATAATTTTTAACTTGGTTTTTATTTATATATTTGTAGAAAAAACAGAACCGAGTCTTTAGATGTATCCAGTTAAAAGTTGAGTTTTCAGATGAGCTGATCCTGCTTTAATCTTTCAAACATTTAATTTGGAAAATAATTATTAATGAAACACCTCATAGAACTCTTCTTGGTTTTACTTTTGCATTTTTCAGCCCCAATCTTGGAGCTTTTACAGATGAGCTTTACGTAAGCTTGTCACATAAAACTGTCGATATTTGGGGAAAGTTAAATGAATAAGAAACAATTTTTATGTTTTATTTTTTGAAATTCACTTGTTGAAATGGGACCAGACCCAAACCATGTGGAATAAAATGAAATCTGAATGTAGAGAGTTCAGTAGTAAAGATGTTTCATGTAACTATGATAATGTTTTTTCATTACATTTAACAATCCACTTCACACAACAATATAAGTGAAAGATTTAACACTTAATAGTTGGAAGTTTTCATTTGTTAAAAGCAAATCTAAATTTTTGATGGTAGGTGTTTTTAGCTAGCAAATTTTCTTAGCTCCTCTGTTACTTAATTCTAGATTTCACTGCTTTTGCGTAAGGTGCTAGAAATGAAAATTTGAATATAAGTATTTTTAAAAACTTAGTATTTTGAAGTTGTGTATTACTTTTGTTATCAAATTGAAATCCATAAATTAAAGTTACCACAAATTCTTCATTTTGAAAATATTCAGAGGTGTAGTTTTCTACCAGTTTGAAATGTACTGTTGTCACTGTTATACGTCTGGAGTGTTGCTTATATTTTGTTGATGTGTTCTCATTGTATTTTACACTTCGATAGTTTAACTGTTATTCTGTGTTGAGAAAAAAAACAAAAGAAAAACATTCACTTTAAACCAAAGAAGTTTAAATTGTATATGTTTGCACATATCTACTTGAAAGCTATCTGCACTAACCATTCCTAATTTTGAAGTGATAGGTTACAGGAATGGCAGCTAGTCAACACAATCCACTGCCAGCTCTTGGGCTATTATTTAACATTGAATAGTTGGATTGACCATCACATTATAATGCCCCCACAACTGAAAGGGAAGCACGTTATGGACGGGGTTTGACCTTGTGAGTAGAGTGCCCTAGCTGGAACAGTAACAATGAGGGGTTCAACAAAATGATTTGAACAACTCATTAACCTTTGTATCATCTTGTACAAGTTTTATCACAATGTTTTTAATATGTTTTCAAAAAATAGTATTGTTTTATAGATAATATACAAGTCATTTATACGTATGCTAAGCAATGTAAGGACATCTATACCAGTGTATATTTTTTTACCCATTACTCTGTGCTGTATTTGTTTATTTGATATTCAATATGGTATTTTAAGGTTTGTATTCTTCATCAGAAAAAGTTTACTTTGTACCTGAGATAAAGATGAAAAAAATGATTCAAATACTCCACTGAATTTAAAGGTATGTATTATATGGACCCTCTAAAAGTGGAGCAGTATATTTATTTATAATAATAACTAATCAAATAAATAGCAGCAATCATAGCAGACACTTTTGATTTAATAACTTACTTTCATTATGTAAAATGCAATAACGTTTTTCCAGCCACATTCAAGCCTATAGTGTACAAGGTGATGTAAAAGTTGTGCACCACTATACTTTTTTTTTCTAAGTCCTGCCCTTATATCTATTTGAAATGCGCACCATTGACATTATGATGCAATGTCACCCTTTCAGTTCTGTTTCAACTTGCATTCTGTAGCACTTGTGGTGTTACAATTGTACAGGCTGTTGTGACACTGTGCTTAAAACCTTCCAAGTTACTTGGACATGTGACAAACAGTGTTTGATGAGGCTCATAGGCTCAGAGTAAAAAAGTGTAGAGAAGTAAGATGAGGGGAGCATGTAGGCTATGCTGCTAGCTCATGACACCCTATCCATCTGTCGGGATGGGGTGGCACACCAAGGAAGCCTTCTGAAGTTTAATGTCCTATCTTTGAATATAAGTATTTTTAAAAATTTTGCATTTTTGAAGTTGTGTATTACTTTTGTAACACATTAGACTACACCTGATCTTGTTCCTGCAACTCAAATGTCAACAATTGTGACATTTTATTACACCTTTTACATAAAATATTGCCTCCTCTGTCCACAGCTGGGTGAAGTGTTCATCCAAGTTCTTCCTGCATCACAAACCATTTAGCCTGGGTCATCTTCTGGGATTTGTGGAGCTTGGAAGTTATGATGCTTTATAATCCAGAGCACACGACTTTGTCTGCGTTGCTGATAGATGGTTTGCCATTGTGTCCAAAAGATCTTCATTTCGTGAAAATCTTCCACTACTTTTATGATTGGCCACATAACCAGTTTCACAAACTTTGATGAGTGAACGATAACTTGAGAGACAAGGAGTCTCCTGTACTGGATGCCTCAAATTAAGTTGTTTTGGCATTACTGATTTAATCCGGTATCCTCACACAACATTAGCACTTGATTAAATTCTTGTATAGTTAATATTGTCCCAACCAATTTTGTAACCAAAGAAAAAAATTGGTTTATAAAATATCAGTGTTGCATGACTTTTGTATCACCTTGCAATTTTTGCTGCTCTTCTGTACTCAATCATTGCTCATGAAAATTTATATTTTATTAAGTAGATCTGCATGTAAATGTAATCAAAACTTAAACTCTTTACATTTAACGGATTAAGCATTATGTTCATGGAATTATATGTGGGAAGCCGTATTACCAATAAATTTGCAGAAAAGTCATCAGGTAACTTCTGATGTTCTTGGAAGGAAAAACTGCATAAAAAAAACAAGGAGTTTTTGGACAAACCCATAGGAAACTCATTAAATTATGTACGTGGTACATATCAGAAACCCCGAGAGGGCACTTTTAACTGGCAAAAACCGATTTTTCAAGCCCTGAAACAGTCACTGCAATATCAAAAGATGTTTAGAAAACTACAAATATTTTTACTAAAGCAGTTTTGAGACAAAACAAAAAAATAAATAAATTAAAAAATAACAAAATATTCAGATTATTTAAGTGGTAACACTTCTAAAAAATATCTGGCTGTCTTACTTAGATGTTATATTCAATATTCTATTAAATATATAATTCAATGCAACCTCAGTTTTTTTTTGAGGATTAAAATATCAACATTTATAGAATTTAGTAGAATAAACACTACCATGTTCAAATATTTTAGTAACTTTAATAATCATTAACAGGTCATACATTGTTAGTAAGGAGGTCAAATCTCTACCAATTCTGAACTACTATATTAATAATATATTTATTTATGAAACAGACTAGGGTGAAATCTGGGCAAACATGTAGCAACTTTTATGTATGAGCTTTTTCATAGAAAATACACTTTTTCACACAGTTATTGTGAAGATAATTTCTTGCTGATGACTGGAACCTGCTGAATACTGAAGAATACTTTTACCCATAAGCAATGGAAATGTTATCACAGATACTAGCTGTGGATTTTGCATATATCAACTCTTGTTCTTTAATGGAACCACAGGCATTGTTATTGTCAAAACCTAAAAAAAATACAACTTAGGCTCAATGAAATAACTTTGAGAAAGGATAATTAATATCTGATCAGTGACATCATATAAAAAAATATTACTAATGAGAGTAATTACCTTGGAAAGTTACAACAAGAAAGGTGCTCTGTTGAGAAGCTGTAAAAAGGTTAGTGGTGAGACACACAGTAGTGATAAATGTGAAGAACAATACATTTGGTCAGTGCAATGAGAGATAAGTAAACACTTGAATGTCACTAGTAAGAGATAGCATGGCAAAAATGGTTATGGTCAGAGGTGAAGGAAAATATCTGACAAAACAGAATGTGAATGTCTATGATCACTATTCAGAAATAACTTTGGAACGTAGCAAAAATCTGTATACATGTCTGTCTGTTATCTAACTACTCTTAGGGTGCTGGGCCAATCTCAACCAAACTTTGTGGTATGATAGTTTGGGATAAGAGGCATGTTAATGGTAATTCACAACCTGCTCCACCCCATTATTGTTGTTATTAAGCATTAACTATCTTTGATGTAAGTTAATGTTAACTACATTCATAGATGGCACCATGTCCTCAGACCAAAAAAAATGTATTGAATTTTCTATAACACAATATACACATAATGTCTTATATATCTCAAACAGTGCACTAGCACTCTCTATGGAGAAATGTAATACATAAACTTGGCTAAAGTTCCTACTCCAACAATCACAATAAGGCTGACATGAAGAGCCAGTTCTTAAGTTATATCCAATTCCCACTTTGACTTGTGACCTTTCAACTTCAGCAATCATCAATTAATTAATCACTTGAAACACTGTGGAATGACATTAAGGGCTGGGTATTGAAAGCAGGTAACAGAAAGCACACCTACCACTACTACTTTGGCTGCTACCTCTTCCTACAAAGTCACCCTGACCATGTTTTAAGTATATAAATAGAGAGTTCTTAAAATGTTTACAAAACTTCTGGTGAGATAATAATGAATACTGTAATAACGTTATATTATAAATAAATTGTGTGAAACTTAGAATTTGTGTGTGAAATATCATAGCATCTACTTCCACATTTCTTTTAGTCCATAGCCAGGACAAGGGACAGGTATCTCAGCTTGTATGTGAAGTATTAGCTTGAATATCTAAGCCAAAGCAAAAAAAAGAAATAACCTTCAAAAATTAATCTAGATATGTGGGAGATAACCAGTGTAATGGGTCAAAGCTGAGTGAGGTAACCTTGATAAACAAAATATTCGTGTCAGAGCTAAAACAAGTAGTTTTGGCATATTACAAAAACAATTTCTGTACACAGTGCTAAGCACACAAAATTAAAATACAAATACAGTCAATGCTTTAGGGTATAATTTTAACAACGTACAAAAATATTCTGACAAGCATTTCAAAAGATATGTAATCATGACAACAATGAGCATCTATGGTTAGTGGCGAGTTATAGCCTTAACAATAATTTAAGTATTCTCCTACTTTGCCTTTCTCTCTTAAATGTTTCAAATTCTTTGCTTAAACTTACAAGATTTATGTTTTGAGTAATTATTAAGAAACATAAACGCGACATTACTTAGCCGAGTTCAACATTTGTAGCAACTGCTGATAATTCAATAAACAAAATGTGTAGTTATTTTTACAAAAATAGAAACTTAAGTAAAAACATGAATGTGTATCAACTGTGCTGAAGAAAAGTGTGTATATATTTAATAGCAGACAAAATTCTGTGATTAAACTGAAAGGGAGATTAAACAAGTAATAAACCAATACTTGCTTCAGTTTCTTTCCTTAAAACTTACCTTGCTTTGCTTATCAAATTGTGCACCACTTTCCTCCTGTTGTATGTCATAAGGAATAAATACATCTAGATAATAAATGTCAGGCTGAACTCTGAGTATAATTCTATCTTCTCCCAAATCCAGCTCTATGTCCTTGCCGTTTTTCTGTTAGGTAAAAATAATATTTAAGCAATATCTTTTTTAACCAAAACCTCCTTTGTTGATTGTAATTAAATTGAAAATATTATTACAATTATTCCTTTAAAGACTAGATCTGTTATAATACCAGACCCTGGTCTTTTAGGTTCCACAATCAAAGTAATGAAACAAACTGCATAAAACTTGCCACAAACTCTACAGAATATGTAGTAATCTGTGTATATAAAAGAAAAGAATCATATAATTATATTTAGTAGATATCTTTAGATTCTGAAATTTAAAATATCTTTTGTAAAACACTGTTTTTAAAATACAAAAAAAATGTTTCTTTCCATTTAACGCTTTCATTCATTTACTGTGTGCCTATAGCCTTGAAAATATAATCAAGTTTTTGTTTCAATAAAGCTACAGTGAAACTTTGCATTCTAATAACAATGTACAAGATTTACAGAAACTTACCTATGCTTATGACATATTCTTATACAATACAAGCTGAATGCCCATCATATGACAGGAAATAATTATTAATTTTTCTTCTCAAAATTGCATCTAAATAAATGTTTTATGAACATGTTTTCTAAAATTTGATTATAATCCAGTAACAACATATGTATGGAGAATGACTATCATACTTCTAGTATTTCATGAAAACATTTTTTTTATGTCATCTCCTTTAAGTATTGCTTGATTAGCATTTTGACTTTTGTATATTTTTAAATTATGTTCAAATGTTCTCCTTGATAAATACTTAGACTGAAACATGCAAAAAAAAAACAACTGATTCTCAAAGACATATTCCTACTTCGTCAACTGTATGACCCTGCAAATTATTAATTGTGATGGTAAAGGCAGTGAATTTTATTATGCATTTTCAGGGTCTTTCTAGTTTTGGCTTTGTTAGCCTGCTGAGCTGAAGAAATGTGCAGCAAATAAAACATGCAGGTTATTATAGAGTTGTAGCCAAAGTTTCCAATTGGACAATGATGTTGCAACAGTGTGTCTCCTTGACAACCAAGCAAATGTACTGGGGAATTTCAGGTAATGATTATGATTTTTGTGCACCAGCAATACCAAGCATAGAGTGCACATATACCCAGTTCGATTTTATTACACATTAGGATCTCAATCAATCAATCCTCAAATCTAATTATATATCCAAAGTAGCTCATCATCCATTTAATATACATGTGTGTGTGGCTGGAAGAATTTTAATAAGATAAACTTGCTTCTCGCAGCAGGAAGCACTGTCGTTTTGTCCAAGTTACGTGAACAGCTTTTCATCTTTATATATTAGATTAGTTTGTTTTTTTGCTAATATCAAGCCAACCCCTTTTGGTCAAAAGCTGAAAACAAAGCAGAGAAATTAACCTGGATTTTTTTTATTGTTTGTCAGAAAGTTCTATTACATAGATCCATTAAATTTTAGTTTGTTTTATATTCTTTTAACATATTTCTCTTTTTTGTTTTCTTTTAGTATAGTCTTCCACAATGAAGCAATTATGTAACTCACTGAAAAATACAGACAGATATTTCTGTAACTTTGAAAAGGAAACAATATAACACAAATCCATTATCAAGAAACTATATAGAGCAAATCCACAGGTTTTTAATTTCTTGGATCTACCTTTAAGTGTGGTAATATCAGATTACTATTTCAAGTGTTAAAGGTTGAAAAACGTTGTAAGGAATGACAGGAAAGTTATTTAATACATTGTTTTGAAACTTAGGTTCTCCTTTGTTTAACAGTTTTTAGCTGGAGTCATATCTATTTTAAAATCTGAGATACTTTATCATTGCCAGTATTATAAATCTAAGAATGATTTCATAGCTTAGCTTACACTGTCTCTAGAATCTTAAGATACACACAAGTTTGAACAGTAATATCTAAATTGCATATGCATTTACAAACAAGCCCCATTTATTTTGAAAATTTCTAATCATGTCTCTTGTCTTCACCATGACAGTAGTAAGCAAGCTTTTACTTTCATTAGAATTAATATGAACAAAACATCCGCCCCCCTCAAAACATTTTAGCTTATTTTTAATGTTATCTTTACAATTGTGATGCTGTTTGCTTTCTAGCCACATGGTAATAACCATAAAATAAATGATATACAAATTCTAATTACATTGGTTTTTTCAAATAAAATGTTTAGAATTGGCAATTTTAAATATGAAAAAAAAGTTCTTAAAGTATTAATTAAGTATAATAACAAAGCACTTCATAAATAACCCTTGGTAACTTTTAAATGTATACACAATTTTGTTAATATCAAGGAAAGAGTGGGACTTGGACCTAAGTGCAACATAGTATGCCAAATCAGTAGTTAAAACAAAATCAAGTAGGAACTGAGGTGAGATTGTTTTCCTTCACAAATATTGTGAAGAGTTCCCAGATGCAGATTTTTACAGGTTTTTTTTTTAATAGTCAGAATGACCTCAAGTAATACTGGCCGAGGAGGAGTTAATGTTTATTTCAAATATCGGGAATGAATATTTTATCTAAAATATAATCTTCAGTAATATATTAGTTCGGAACACAGCAGCAAAGATTTAATACAACTTTAAAAATGTATAGCTGAACTAACAAATTTCATCCCACTTTTCTTTTAAAAATTTGTACATTCAACTTTAAAATAAACAACTATTAACATACAATATTAAGCCAAACCCTTTTAGTCAAACACTGAATTTTACCACTTCATAAAGTTGAATTCTGGCTACTAGGAACTCTGGATGTCCTTCTACTGGATCTTTGAGAATGCTAAACTCAGGAACTGGGACATTTTTTCTTTTGGCGCTACCAGATATTTCAGACATAATTCTAGTATCAGTCTTTTCCTCCTTTTCAAGTGATGCAGATTTATTTGGCTCATTGCTACATTAACAAAATAATTGAACACCAAGTTTAAATTATACTAACAGAAACTGTTACCAACAGTAATGAAAGCTAAAGAATTTACTTTTTAAATAATGTTTCCTGTTTCAAACAATTAGAATGACTGTGGTATTCTTAAACAGAATTTTTCAACAAACAAGTTACAACCAAAGTCAAGAATTTAATGTCAAACACAAGGTTTATTAAATAAGAAAATTAATTTAAACAAACAATGTGACTGCACTGTAAGATCTAACAAAACAATGTACATCTCTCTTCTCTTTCAAGGTTAGCTATTTGTAATGCTGCTGAAAATGAGAACAATGAAGCCTGGACAAGGACAAAATTTTATCTACTTATTTTACTCAGACTAGAGGTTGATCTGTAATACTCTATACTTTTTTAAAACTTAACCAGAAAGCTCTATCTCCTATGGATATTGTTCAATATCTAAAGTGTAATCTGTGTATGTAACACCCCTCTCTCCATACAGCTGCCCAATCATCATACTACTATTCCCACCTTAGGGAGTTCCTAAACCCAAAATTCACATATGAAGATAGAAATATTCTTCTTATTAAGCCCTAAATTTTAATTGTAATGCAGGTTCATCTATAACCTTAACATAAATCACAGCTACCTGTACTGAAACTTAGAAAAAAAATTAAAGCTAGGTTAAATTTATGATTGAAAACTATTGGAGTGCTAATATTTAACCAGTATATTATCAAGAGTTGAATAATGGATGAAATTTCACACAAAATGCAACACAAGTATTGTCAATCATAGAATACAAACCAGTAATAGAGAACTCAAATTTCTAAAATTTGGTGATGAAAAAAATATATATGCACAATATTTCAACATTTTCACTAAAAGAACTTTAGGATTTAAAACAATAAATTACATATTTTCAGTTTATAAAATAAAAACAAGTAGAACTTTACCTATAAGTTTTTTTTCCCCTTTTAACTTAGCCTAAAGTCTGACATTATATATATATATGACACTTCATCTCATTTCGCCCATTTTATTACCAGATTGTTTATTTATCTAACAGTCTGTAATTTTTTTTATAATCCTCAAAGCAATCTGTCCATTTGTCTACCAGTATGCATTATTGCCAGTTTTGTCAACCATCAATTGGCTATGTTGTTCATCATTCCTTTTCTCAATCTTATTCACTGTAAGTTGATCCATCCATCCATTTTTTATTCACTTGTTTGTACTATTGTAAATCAAAAATTTCCATCACATGCCCAATATCTGTTTATCTGTATACATTTCCAATGTTATTAAGGTTGCTCTTTTAAGAACCAAGTAAAATATAAATGGGATGACATTAATTATCTACTTCTCATGCTGTTTAAAACAAGAAAAACTTGGTGCCTTAATGTTTTTTTTAAGGTTCCCAGCTAACTCATAAGTAACTATTATACATATTTGACCCTTGGTTGACTATGTATAAAATTATAAATCATTTTTAGTTAAAATTAATGACTTATAAAGCTACGGGAAGGTTAAAAAAATATTAGGAAATTCAAAAAAGCTTAGGAGCAATATAAATATAAACACACAAGTAGAGGTTTAGGAAAGACTATTTAAATGTACCATAGAATGGTTGTATGGGAGAAAGACAGAAAAGAAAGAGCTTTACAAAAGTTTTAGTATTACCCTTAAGTAATAAGAATTAGAGAAATTGACAGAAAACCATTTATGGAGTCAACGTGTCTATTATAATGAATGTAGAATACTTGTCGCATTATATTTTTTAAAACCAAAGATTACATCAATGTATGTCTGTGGGTAACTATAAAAGAAAGGATTGAAAACTATTATACATTTTCAAATGATATACAAACATCATGAAATCATCTTAAAATATCAATTTAGTTAGAAAACAGTTAAAACTCAACTTCTGAGTGTTTGAGAAAAAAAATTTCTCTCTTTCTTTATATGCAACACAATTTATCTTGACCCAAAATATATCAAAATAACCAAGCAAGCAGCCATAAACTGAAAAAGATATATATATATATATATATAATTCTTGTCTACATCAAATCCTTCTAATTAATTAACTCATATTGTTTTTCATTAAGTAAACATTAATAATATACATAAAAAACAACAACATTTATCAAGAGATACTTTGTTACAATTTAAATTTGTAATTTTACTATTCAATTTTTATAAAAATAAAAGATACTTGTAATTATAACTTTAGTAAAAATTCAAACTAACCTTGATGAAATTTCTGTTATTAAGGTCTTTTGATTACATCTGATGTGATGATCTGGCATTGTTCCATGGTACTTCTTGTTTTTCAACAACATCCATGAAACTAAAATCAATCACAAAAGAACTTAAAACTGAAGAGTATCTTTAGTAAGTTACAGAATAAATACATATCACGCAAAATACTTCAAGCTTCAGTATTATATGCTTAAGTTAAGAAAGTTATTTGTTCTTAAAAGCAAAATAAGTAAATTTTTAACCAGTGAATATTTTAAAGACAGCTTAAGAATGAGTTAATAACGTATATGGAAAAGTGTTTTGATTTTGATCTAAAAATTTCTGTACTTCATATCCCATTGTAGAATAATGGAGAACTTCCACATTTTTAATGAAGTAATAATATAGCAATGAAATATGTACTTTTAGACCTAGAAATAATTGATATCAGTCATGTATATCAAATGCTGTTTTGTGTGTGTGTGTGTGTGTGTGTGTGTGTGTGTATATAACTATTTCTACGTAACTAAATATATCAGTAACAAATAATAAGTAAAAAATGAGCTGCTTGGAATATCTTGCTGGACACTAATGAGTGAGAATACTTATCCCAACTTTGAGGCCAAACAAATGTATCACAGTTTTAAGAAACAGTATCTAAAATAAAAAGAAAGAAAATTTAACAAACAGCTTCATCTACACTGCCATCTAGTAACTCATGTTCACGGATGCAATTCTAAAGAACATGTGTTAAATGAGATAAATCCACTCTTTGTGGTTTCAGAAAATAAGAAAGCAAATATTACAGCTTCTCAAAAAAAAAAAGACTTTGAAAAATAGCCTTTTCACTTACCACCTACAATGAAAAGCTTTCCCCTTTTCTATGGTTTGATTTTTTCACAAACTACAGATTGCTAACAAGATATTATCAAACATAAAATGGGTGAAGAAAAACTGTTAAATTTGTATCAAATACTGCATCACCTCCTACACATAAAGAAACTTATGTGTCAAGTTTAAGGTCAGTTTATTTTGCACAATTTAAAAAATACTCTTAAAAGAAATAATGATTTGCAGCTTTAAATACACCTACAATGAAAAGTTTTTAAAAAAAAGAACATTTTATGTTTAATAATAAAAGATATTTTGAATGTGTTTCTTATTCTAGTTTAACATTGCTAATTCATGATGCTTTCTGTAATACTATTTGCCTATTGCACTTAGTAGCTGTAAAACATAGGATTTCTTTACAATAACAACACATGTAGCTCAATCATATTCTATTAGTCTAGAAGTAATTAATTACACTGTATAATTTGTCATTAACTGTTTATTTTCATGATATAGAATATTGAAATTATTTCTCAAATATAACTTGATATATTCTTTTCAAACTAAAAAATGTACTAATATCATTATAACTTAAGCAAGGCCCCCAATGGCACAGCAATAAGTCTGGGAACATATAACACTAAAAGCTAGGTTCTGATACCATTGTGTAGCTTTGTGCTTAACTACAAACAAACAAAACTTAGGCAAATTTTGATTTGGTCTGCAAATTCCACACTACTGGCACAAATATATGGCAGCTGTTTTTTGAGAAAATGTGAACATTTTCAAAAAAGATTTTTCTGGGAAGTACTGCAGGGAAAAGTGTTTGGATTATGCTGATATAAGCTGTAATGTTTTATGTATTAAAAATGGTACCCTTTATTGTAAAAATAAGTTGTTTTTTTACGGACTCCATTTGTTTAGTAATATATTTACAAATTACATCAATAGATATAATCAAACCCACAAACAGTCCCAGAGAAAGTCGTGTTCTTGTAGTGAGGAGAGTACTTTTACTTAAAATTGTGTTTTGTGATAAAGAAATGGTTGTTGCACACATACCATAGTTACCTTTCTAATTGTCTGAATCTTAAATACCAATATGTGAAATTTTTTTATGGATTTAAGTTTGTGGTACCATGCAATAGATGGCGCCACATTATATTTATTATTTTGGTCACATACACAGATATATAGATACATATATACACGCTACATCCATTATAGAAAGATTACAGCTTTGAGAATCTGGAACTAACATCTATATTAAACATGACAGGTTTGCAGGGCTTGAAACTGATTTTTTTTTTTTTAGTCACAGGTAAATGTTTGTCAGTTACTTTGAAAGTTACTGGCAAAAGTGCCAGTTAGTAAAGAAAAAAAAAGACAACTGTTATAAGAACAACAACATTACCATTTAATAACAATAAAATTTGCAGCTTGTGCTGAACAGCTTGCAAATGTCTTTATAAATTGTGTCCCTCCTTTTTCTCTCTTAAAATGCTTATTTCAGCGAAGTCTAGTCTGTGGAGTTCTTGACCACAAGACCACTACCTGTTGACAACATTTTTGCTTTGACAATTTTAGTGTTCTTCAGAACTTTAGATAATAATCTTAATAAACTGGCCATTGTTTTTCATGTCCAGGCTGCAGCGCTAATAGCTTGTTGTTCTCTTTACAGTGTGCAGATGGAGTGGAGACATATGCAACAGAAAATCACTGTGTAAAGCGAGCACTGACCTAATACAACAACCACAGCTATTTTTCTGACAGACATTGCATATGAAATTATTAAACCACACTTTTGAAATCTGTAAAAAAATAATAAGTTAAAAAATATATATACACATATGTTTAACCTCCGAACGTTATCAAACTTATTATGATGGACTGTATTTGATTTACCTTTGTTCAAACACAAATTATATTTGTTTTCTATTCCTTCCATACACAGAGTTATCATAAATGTTTTGAACAGATCACTGTTGATAACTTTCTTGAAAAATGTTTTGTTGATGATAATGTCATATGCAGTGCAGGGATGACCACCTGTAAAAAAAAATTAATAATTTCAGAAAGAAAATCATACATATATACATTTTTAGACAGCTAAAAATTCATTCACTGATATACAAAATAATTTGTATTTGTGAAATTCACCTTGGTAGTTAGATTACTGAAGAAAGTAATAGATTAAACATCTATTGGAGCACCAGACCAAACAAAGTTAAAGTTAATAGTTAAAATCTGTCATACATTTCAACACTTCATATTTTATGACAATTCAAAAAATTGCATAAAAAACATTTGATTATTTATAAAAACAGTTTATTAAAACAAAAAGACATATATATATATATATCTGAATTAAAATTAGCACATAAAATAAAATGATTAAAAGCAATTAATCAGGATAGATAATCAAAGAAACTTTTTCCAAAAACAGATCACTAGTAAGTAACATGTAACTGTGCCCACTGCCACATTAAATAGCTTCTCTTTAGACATATAAAACAGTTCCAATGAATTATGGAGGAAAATATTAAACAAACTCATACAGGCCAGTTACCTATAGATTTGAGAAATGAATAAAATAAGTTATTTTTTTTTGTAAAATAACATATTGTTACAAAGATAAAACTTAGTCATATTTTTGAAATATCTGATCATAAGTTTAGCCAATGTTTTTCATTCAACATTAGAAAGTGATACTTGCATGATAAGCAAAATCAGAAAGTAAATTCATATTACAATGGCTTTTAGTTTCATCAATCAGAATAACAATTTTATTAAAGTAAGATTATTTTATCAAGTGAAAACCACACTTCATTTATAATGAGAATATGAAATAGAACTATCATAATGCAGTGCTCAAAATACTAAGTTAAGGTTTTCCAACCATGTAGAAAAACAAATGATAAAACTTTGATATGAAAGTAAATCATTACAAAGTTTACAATAAATCATTATATAATTTCTAATGTTAGGTTTTAAAAAGTAAAGTAAAATCTGCAAACTCAGCTTATCTCCAGAAGCTACGCTATTAGCCTTAGAAACTACCAAAAGTCCCTCTAATTGTAGAACTCATAGAATTGCTGTTACAAGCCTAGTCCTAAAAGTGTACTTTATAAGCTATTGGGGAATTATACAGTCTGTTACTCAAAATATTTGTTGCACTAACTTTTTCCATACAAAGTGAGTCAATTTGACCTAATTTGAAAACACGAAACCAAGTGTATCTTCACAAAATGTGGCAACCTTTCAGTAAACATTACAAGTACACAAAAAATCAATTTTTGATAATGCATTTTTACTAAAGAATTGTCTGTAAATTTACAAAGCCTTTACTGAGTCAGTCTCAGTGAAAAGTAATAACCGTGCTAAAGATTAAAAATACTTGTGTTCATTTTACAGTTTTCAAATTTCATTTGTATGACCTCCCAAACAAACAATTTTTTTTGGGGGGGGCTAAAACTTATTTCCTCCACCATAACACTAACTGTACCAAATTAATCAACATATAGTGAAATGAAAAGTTGAAAATGTATAAGATAAAATGTACTTTTTCTTTTAGGAATGAATAATTTGTCTTCAGATTGGCAATTTAATTATCTTCACAATTTCAACTATTAATCTTATAACATCTATTTTCATTTAATTTACTGTTTTATATTGTTGGGCTTTGTTAAGGAGAACATTTTTAATCCATGAAAATCATTAAGTCACACTGAGACCCCATATCTATTCCACCTGCTCAACACACACACACAGATAACAAAAATAAATTGATCAAGTTGCACCACATATTTACAGCTTTCAAACTGAAATACCATAAATATAATATACACTCCATCACTATATGAAGACTAGTCTTATTTGCTTTTGTCCAGAGTTACTGATGAGGGGTGGAATTCCCTGAAACTGGTATAACTCAGTGGAAAGTAAAACTGAATGATAGATTAGGCTTCACATATATTTTTCAATATTTTAAACACCTTATCAGCTGAATAATTCACAAGAATAAATTAGCAGTATCAATGCTGCATATTCTTGAAATTTCTATATTGACATACAATTACACTGTGAGTAAAATACATATCTTAAAACATCATAAAGTGTTAACTTTAACTTTACAAGAAAAACAATTCAAAAATGTATTTCATATAAAAAATGTTAAATATCTACCAAAACATTACGTTTATCCTCATAACAACAATTATACAAAAAAAAATTAAACTTATCATTCTATATATTTAAGGAATTGGAATGCAATACACATTTCAAACTTAATACAGCTACAAATATTGTACAGAGTGGCATAAATTCCAAAACACAAAATGCATTTCTTGGATAATTATATCCTACATGGAATGACATTTTACAAAAAATGAACAATAATGCACATTGTATAATACATGCACATCAGAAGTTTTCCTTTCTCAAACAAGTTGATTCTGTGACTTACTTTTATCTAATTCCACATGGGGTTCCCCTAAACTCATTGGGATTCTATATGTAGATGGGTCATCAGACTGAAGAATACACAATAACTCATCTTCACTGATTTCTTTTGGTTCTGGTAGCTTTAAAACAAAAATAAGTCACTAACAACTGTCATACCAAACAATTGATGTTTCAATATTTTTTTATCAGTAAGATAATATTTCGTAACCTTGACACCAGTTGAAATAATCATGTATATTTACATTGTCCATCTTATTTGATGATTCTTTTTCTATTTTTTTTAGACCAACCTTATAAAAACAAATATGTGACCAACACTGTCATAACAACTTAGTTCTTGGTTGAAAAAATATCTCCTCCTGCAATGATTTTGTTAGGTACAATTAAAGTCTGGTTACATATATACTGAGTTAATGATACAGTGAATATTTCAAATATCTATTCACATTCTTTGTTAAACAGACTTTAAGCTTGTCTAATATACACTGTATTCAAGGCATACAAAATAATCATATGTGACATTATAATATTTCACACTGATTGTTTCTTTTTCTAATGTTATGATTCCGTGTGTGTGTACATGTAATAAGACAAAGCAGAATAATTAATCTTGCCACATGTTCTAAATGTGATACGTACGGTAAACAAGTACTTCTAGAAGCATGCAATCGAAATTCATTTCAGTGTTAAAATACTATGTTCATATGTAATACAGTATTGTAAGTCATAAGTGTACTCTGGATGAGAATTCCAAAACTGAGACTATAGCATGAACCAAGGAGGCTGAGGCTGTTAATGTAAAATGAGCATGACCTCATGGAAGTAAACAACTAGTTAACGAAAAACAGTTCTCACCATATGACATAGACATTTCAGGCTCAAGAAAAGACTGAAAACAGTTGCATAATGAAATAAAAGATATGTGAGATTATACATCTTGCTTCATGCAGCTTGAAGTTATATTTCTACTACAGAAGCAGTCATATATGTTATGTTGGACAACCTCATCTGGGGTTTAAACGAGACAAACCATTCAAGTATGCTCCTTTCTAATGAAACTGAAAACTGGAGATGCAATAGCAATAAAAGGGCTGGCTTTTAGGTATGGAAAACAGACTATATAAAACTGAAGTCAACAGAATTAACACTTCCACAATCTAAGAAATAGTGCAATGGGAACTATAAAAAAGAAGTTCTAAGCTCAAAGAATGTGAACACATAAAAGCCCACACTGATAAACCTAACACAGAAAAAACAGTGATGTTAAATGTATGACTTCCCTGATAGCACACAATGTCAGATTTTAGGAAGGGGGCTAACCTTGAGTGAAGTTTATTCTGATATAATAATAATAATAATTAAAAAGAAAGAAAAGGAAAAAAAGGTACACTTTACTTCTGTGAAAATGTTAACAAACTAAGTAAACAACCATGGTCAACAGTAAAGAGGATTCTGTGTCTGAAACCAACAAAAAGGAGAGAAATTAAACAAGAAATATTAATTATACTGTAAATGTTTTGTCTTTTAAGCACAGTATGCACTAAGATTTTATTCATACATATAGTTGAAGTAGCTGTTCTACCTCAAACGTTATAATTTTCCTATACTGAAAATATATTTTTGATAGGTACTCACCGGACTCATATAAATATCTATTATTGTTCAGTGCTGCCCTCTATATGAAAACAAAAAAAATCATGCATACCACAAGTCTTTTGCCTCCCCTCCATTGGAAATGACTTATTCCAATGTGTCTCTCATGCAACAACCCTCCATCAATGAGAGTGTAACAAACTCTCATTATGCATGTGACTCCCTCTATTCAATTCTACCAGACTATCACTACGAGTTTTGGCAGAAAATGGAAGCACCAGTTTTCACTGGGGTGGAAGGAGGTAAGTATCTACTGGAAATACATTTTCAGTATAGGAAAATTATAACTTCCGATACAGTACATTACTTCTGCTCACATAAATAGCTAGAATCCCATATTAAACAGGTGG